GATCGCCTATATGTGAAACACCCGGTAACGGGTGTGTGCATTTAGCGGGTCTTTTCTGCCCGTGCGTGCCCGCTAGGGGGCGCGCGCGAGCAGAAAAAAATTGCCGTCTGGAGACGGCAACCCGCAGATGCTGCAGTGCCGTCCGTCCGTTTTTTTACTACGGGCGGACGGCAAGAGGTTAAAGTAAGCTTTGATTGCATTATCATAAACAACTCCAATATGTATTCCTATTACAGTCCTGATGTTATAACAGCGTACAGTATATGCTGTGACTTTAGAACTCATTTAAGGCCATTTAGAAGATAAGGATACTGTCAAATATATAATTTTAGTGGTCAGGGTATACAGATGCAGACGATGAATGCAAATGAGGAACTAAGAACCTTTTTCTATCTTTTGAGTACAAAAGCAAACTTCTTATACTGGGGTATAACTTTCAACAATATAAAGACAAAATTAATATTTTAAACTTTAAAAAAATTGATTTAATACATTTAAATATGTTGATTGCACTCAGTTCTTATAAAAGAGTAAAAAGCCTGGGTGTCTGAACTGAGTTATCCCAGCAGGTTTTGAATCCATTGATTTTTGAGGGCTACATTATCCCCAGCACATCTTTTATACATTGATTTACGTAAAAGAAATGACATGGCCAAGCTCAGCATGACAGCATATTATGCAGTAAAAGTCAAGGAGTGGGTAACACAGTGTATCTTTTGGATAATACAAATCATTAATTCTACCGCTGCTGGGCACTTTCATTGTTGCCATCATGCTGTTTCAAACATTCTTTTAATTCACATGAGCAAAAACATTTGACAATCAGCCACTGGTGCCTAGATAAGGTATGAAGAACTACGTTCGTGTCCTTAATGATGACAGTAACATGCTGATGGGACAGAACTAGTTACATATACACTAAGGAAATGTGCTGTTAATATTGCAAATGAAAACATTTTCTGAATGCTTAAGGAAAGCAGATTTTGTAAAGTTCAGGGAATCACATAACAACCAGTTGCTGGAAAAAGCAATGATTTCAAATTGGGCACTAGGGAAACAAGTAAACTATACAATGGAAATAATTATCAAAACTCAAGCCTAAACAAACAATTTTCTATCATTTTAAAGAAAAAACTGTTTAGATCTCTAAATATGTACATCTTATATCTTAAGATGAAAACAAAGTGAAACTTTACCTTTCAAAGTTGAAGATATAATAATTAGGGATGCACCAAAAGTATGGCCACCAAAACATATAGGGGTCTATTCACTAAGCTGCCGTAGGCAGCCGAGTGAAAGACCAACCTGAAGTGAAGTGAGCCGAACACTGTTCGGCTATTCACTTCAGGCTGGTACCGATGATTTCAGCCGTATATCGGCTGAAATCAGACGTACATAGGGTGGCTTCAGGTCGGCCGAACATGCTCAACATGTTCGGCCGACCCGAAGTGCAGGAGGAGTTCGACTCAGCATGAAAGAGTATGTTCTTTCAATGGATGGATATATTATATAATAATAATGATACTACAAAAAATGGTCTTTTCCCAACAGCATTCTTTTCACTTGTTAAATTTTATTCACAATGTTTCTGATGTAAGAAACACATTTCCAGGCAAACAACATAATCGTATCCTACCCCTTAGGTATCCACTTCATATCTCACCGTGCTCGGGACACACTGGCCAGGTTTTTAAACAAAGCTTTATTTCTCACTCACAAAGTATATGTGCACTTTGCTTCTG